TAATGAATACAATAAATAAGTTATAGGTTCATTGGTGAATTAATTTTTGAATGATTAAGTTAAATGTTATGTAGTTTTGTTGATAGTTATGATGAGCACTGGTATGTTTTTGTTGAATGCTTGAAATGCCACTGTTTTTATAAACTGCGAGCGCACATGTACTAAATCGACAACTTATTCACCCTGAGTACACAAACATATTTGCGCATGTATATTTAAGGGCACTTTTGAATAATAGTGGGATTTTTATATACAATATTCCTATCGTATCTATAGTAGTATTAAATGTTATCTATTATTACAGAATATTTTTATAATTCATTGTCAAGTGTTTGAATGCAATTAGTGTTCAATTAGTACTCCACTATCAATGATAGTCTATCATCTATTTTGACCTTTTATAAATGTTTCATGAACAAATATTTTAGATTTAATTAATTATTACCGAAATATTTACTTTATTCTGTTTGTTATGCGAGGTGCTATTTTACTATTGCTTTTTTACCACAGTTGATATTATTATACTTACACATATTAATATTTAATAAATACTAACATATCTTTGATCCTTTATAAATATTATAAAAATCATTTTTACTATAAAAAAACATTACTTTATTAATAATAATAAAATCGATAACAAAAAACATTATGCCGCGTAATGATATCAAATATGATTGATAATTGAATGAATGAATACGAAAAACACGACACAATTGACACATAATTCATATCCTGTACTGAGTCTCGAGTTTCACTAAATCTGCGCTCAATTCCCACAAATCGTAAGCCGTCTTATCGTCGACCGCGTGGCTCACCATCCGGTCCACCCGTTGGCAGTTACTAATGGCACCACAAAAGTCATGTATCAATAAAGTGATTGTAAAACCTTTACAAACAGACAATGAAAACACATACTCATAATAAAAACCCGACTCATGGTCGAGGGCCTCGTCCAGCGCGCAGTACAGGTAGGTCTGGGGGCCCATCTCGACGCCCAACAGTAGCAACGACTTTAAAAAGCGGACAAAAATGCTTTTCTCGCGCCTGGAGTTAATCATACCGGGGTTCACGGCGTAGGTCTTGACGCTACTGTCGCCGCCGCCTAAACGCCGGGCCATTTCCCGTGTGAACAACACCTGTGCCAGTTTGGCCTGATGGTGGGCCCTGCCCGCCGTGTAGGCGCCGTTACGGAGGTTTATGTTTTGCAGATATATTTGTCCGAAAAGGTGTCCAACTGAGGCCACATTTATGATGCGCGCGTCCGACGACTTCCGCATTAATGGCAACAAATGCAGTGATAATAGAAAGTGACCTAAAATTGGCGGACATATAGTGTTAAGTATTTTAGTAATTATTTTGTGCAAATATATACCCAAATAGCACCCCGCAAATTGCATTTCATAGCCGTCTACCGACTCCTGTGCCGGTCCGGACACTACGGGAACGCCTGCGTTGTTGACCAGTATATCCACTTTGGACTCACTTTCCGTGATTTGTTTGGCGAACTCGCGGACCGACTTCAGCGACGATAAGTCCAGCTTAAGGGCCGTTATATTGGCGCCGGGATTACGGCTCTTGATCTCATTCACGGCTTTCTCGTTATTCTCTGTATTTCTCGAACCGATTATTATTTTCTGTAGAAAATGCAAATTAATTACAACTTTATTCATTTACTTTTAATAATTAATATGAATTTTATGCATACCTTCGGTCCCCTCAACGAGAGCTGATACGCGGCTTCTTTACCAATGCCTGCGTTACCGCCGGTTATGACCACAACCTTCCCGTCCAGACGTCTGGTGCCGAGGAATCTTCGGCGGCACCGGAATATAGTTTGCGGGATCTCTGAGCCCATCATTGACAGCACTGCCATAAAATTACTCATTTTCGCCGATTATTACTTGTTTAGAAATAAATATTTTTAATTTTTTTAAACAGTAATCTTTTTTGTAAACCTAGTGGACTGGTATGTACAGTTTAGAAAAATATTGTGTTATATGAATAGCAATAGGAGTTGCACCCAACTACTAGTGCATCAGAATAATTGCGCATGTACACAATTCTGTGTTTAATACTTTACTATTATGCAATTTCAAGCATTTAATGCTATTTATGATTAGATTTTAATAATTTTGATATTATTTAATTTTAAATAGGTTTTTTATTTGCAATTAATAACGCTAATTAATTATATGATATAATTATTTAAAATAATTATTTTAATTACAAAGAATAGTATAGATTCTATACTATAAAAGTAAATAGAAAATAATTTGTAATTATATAATGTTAAATAAAATAGTGTTATAATTATTTAATTTATATAATAATATTTTTATAATATAATCAATAAAACATGTAATCATTTCAAAGGCCAGGCATACTTTGGAAGTTTGTACTCGTCATCCAATTTAACAAAATCTTCACTCAATTCCCATAACTTTTGGGCACTTTTATCGTCCGTTGCGTTCGCGTTATAAATGACTACTGTATGGCTGAATTAGAAACTGTTATGAATATCAGAAAGTTTTGTAAGCTTAAAGTTACGGATAATTTCTAAATATGAAATTTTTATATATGCAAAATTAGAATAAATATACAAAAACTATTTAATTAATAAAATGACAAATTTTCTCATAAAAGTATACATTGGGTGTCGGGATGTCGTGAAAGGAGAGACGGCTGTCAAAGACATTGTGGCACTGGGGCGCAGTTCGTTCAACAAACTCGGCTAGTTTCATGACACTCATTATGAATAGGTAGTGTACTGTATAATAATAATTTTATATTAAACTATTTTCGTAATGTTTTCAGGAATATTCTGTACAATTTATACCTAATATACCACATACTCATTGTGCATCAATGTGTTATACCACACTCGAGTATAGTGAATACCGTGTAATGTTTTATATAATGTGAAGGTCACAAAAGTCCAGGTGCACTATCAACTATAATAATATAGTGTTTTAGCATGGGAATGTTTTTTATGATAACATTTCATAACTATAACTGAATTTAACAACTTTGCAATACTCTCTATTTTAATGTTTATGTGTTGTATTTAAGTAATATAATCTTAATTATGATAATAAAACTATAATATAGTAGCATATTAAATTAATGAAATAATTTTAAATATTTTAATACTGTATCTTATAAATATTTTATAAATTCAAATTATATCTTCATAATAAAGTAGTTTTATATATCTATCATTGTGTTTGCCTAATGCATAACCCAGTTCATTTATGATCTAGTAACACATTATTATTTATAAAGGAAACAATCTAATATTTAAACTATTAAATTTTAATAATAAATCATTTATTTGTATTTAGATTATAACCATAAATATTTTATTTTCAATAATATTGTCAAAATGAATGTTTGATAAAATAATTGATTGTTATAATCTTATTGAATTGAATAATAAATGAAATGTAAACAAA